TATATATATATGTATTTATTTCTTTTTGTGGTTAAAGATTAAGCTTTGCTGTGAGCATCAACCGTTTTTACATCTCTTCCAGTATATGATGTTTTAGATTAACGTTGATTGTATTGATGATTTTGATCTCAAGCTGACTTTAATACTATCAAGAACAATTGGTTTTATTATTTTGGCTCCAGTGTCCTAGGGTATAACCTTGATTGTATTGATGATTTTGCCTACATTGTAGATATGCTAATTGACATGTAAATTCCTTTTATACATGGGTGGTGCCCCCTTGGCACCACTTTAATACAACTCTTCCTACTTTTCTTTAAAAAAAAAAATGTATATGATGTTTTTCCATTAATGCAAATGTTTTGGATTTTTACTTCACATGCTGCCTTGGATGATAAAATGAGAGATGAGAGATCTGTTCGTTTCAAGAGTTGTTTGATGGTCTGATTTGATATTGAAAAGCTGAATTAGGAGAATTTTGAAACTTTCTGTTAAGAAATATGTTCTCACTGTGGCCAAGTTATATAAATAACTAATACATAATGGATTTTGGCAGAAATGACATTTAATTTTTTTTTCTAAAAGTGCACTGCTTGTAAAACTTGGATAGATATCCTTGCTGCATGTTGAGGCGAGTCAATAAATTCTAATAACTTTTGTTGATTTTTGCTTGCCTAAGGAGATGTACAATTTTTTAAACTGGAGAGGCCATTTGTATGTTGACCTTGTAGAGTAAAGTGTTCCACTTGGCTTTGTATGCGTGTTGATCTATTGGAATGTGTATGACAGGTGCAAGCTGTGCTATTACTTCTGGGAGGGGCTGATACACCTACTAGTGTACCTATAACCGATTTTCTGCTGCAACAGAACATCAGGGTATTTCCTGTTAAAATCCCCTTTTGATCTGCAGACACATTTTTTGATATCTTAGATGATTAATATTTTTCTTATAATATACAAGGTTGTAGGTGAGGCTTCACAAGACTCGAAACTTTCTAAAAGAATTGCCTCATTGGTGAAGTTTCGTGAAAAGCGGAAAGAAAGGTGTTTCGAGAAGAAAATTCGATACAGTTGCCGGAAAGAAGTTGCACAGAGGTAAGATGCCTGATAATTTGATACCTTATGCTTTGGACTGAAGGAAGTGAATATAAATGTCTCTACATGTCAAAGCTTTTGGGAATGTAAAAGTTCAGAGCAGTTAACGTATTTCCTAACTTCCAGTTTTGCGTTGTATTGTTTCTCTTTCTCTCTAATAAATCTTCTTCTTTTATCTTAAAAAAACATATTTCCTAGATTTTATTATTTTGTACTAAAACAGAAGAGAGCATCATAAATAAGGGGGAAAATAGAGAAAACACAATGCTCTTGATTCCCTTTACTGAAAAGGGTTAAGGACAGGGGGGGATGGAGTTGAAAAAGGGTGCGGAAAATAACTGATGAGGAAAAGTTTGGGCTTTGCTATTTGTAATAAGCTCTCTATTCATTTAATAATATTTGTATCCTAGGATGCACCGAAAGAATGGACAGTTTGCATCATTGGTGGAGTGTCATGATATTGCTGCTGGAAACTGGGATCCAAATGTGAGGACACCTTCTGAATCTTGGTGAGTTTTCTTTATTTTCTTTTTTTCTGTAAAAAGTCAATATCAGCTGTTAAAATGTTAATATTTAAATTATTACCATTGTAGATATACTAATTGACATGTAAATTTTTTGTACATGGGTGGTGCTCCCTTGGCGTTACATTTCAATATTCTTACACTTTTAATTCAAAAAAAAATTTAAATTGCTGATTCTGCAAGTACTAAATGGTGCTGAGCCTTGTGCAGTTGCACTTACTTGTTAAGACTAACTATCTCTTTGGAAAAAATTTATCAGTTCTGGGAGATGTCAGCATTGTGGGGTCAGTGAGAAGTTCACCCCAGCAATGCGTCGGGGTCCAGCTGGTCCAAGATCACTTTGCAATGCGTGTGGCCTTATGTGGGCAAACAAGGTTCGTTATGAGGAAATGATAAGATTTCTGTATATTCATGCTATATTCATGTGGCCTTTCTCAGGACTAGTCCTTTAATTGATTTTTTTTTTTCACATAAAGCCTTTCATCAAGTAATTAGGGGTGGTTGAAGATAAAAATTTGGAAATTGCTGTTATTGTTTTCTGATGTGATTAAATGCATTGGGTGGTGGGAAAACAAATAGTAAACTGAAAGTCTTTTACCTAACTTCAAAGGCCCAATAGAAAAGTTTGTGAATTACATGGTGAGTTGTTAATGTTATTTCCTTCCATTCATAGAGAAAAAGGGACTTCCCCAGCAATATACAAAAAAGAAAAAATTACAGAGTCCCCAGCCATCATAAGGTTTACAAAATCAGCCTCATAGTGGGCAGAGTTCTATGCAAAAGATTTAGGTTTTTAGAACAATGGTCCGTGATACTCAAGGAAGAGGTTGTAGAGTCTTCAAAAGCTCAAATTACTACTGCTATTGTTTAATGATGTGCATCTAATTCCTTCCACAATGGTGAAAGGGGGATTCCCCAGCTGGGAACCAATTTGGAGTTCTTTCTACTTTTACAAAGATGAAGGAAAAACTTCTTCACTTGACTTCACTTAGACTTCTTGGTAGTATGGTTGCTAATATTTATATACATATTCTCCTAGAATGTTATTTCAGAAAAAAAAAACACATTCTCCTAGAATGGTTGAAATTGTATTCATTATTATCATTTGCAGCTTGCCTGAATGTTTTGTTATGTTTTTTATATTGTCTATCTAATTCTTCTTGTGCTTGCAAAGCTCTTTGCAAATGCCTTTTCATGATAAAAAACGATATTGTCATTTTTACAAGAAATTAGTGTTCGTCAGATATTAGTATGTCATGAAGCTTATAACTCATTTTCCTTGTCTAAAGTATTGAAATTCATAAATTTATTTTGTTCTGTCATGGATTGTGATATAATAGTCTTATTATCCTCCATTGGCAGGGAACTTTGAGAGATCTCACGAAGAATGGGAGGAACATTTCTTTCAATCAGAGTGACCTGGTATGTTTTTTTGGTAACAGACCCATTTTATGTTTGGAAGATAGCTTTTCTATAAGGGAAATAGATTATTCACCAATGTACCGAGGGGATATTGCCAAGAAAAAAGAAGAGCTCAAGTTTTGGAGAACTCGAAAGAACTTTATGTTTATGAAGCTTTTTTCATCTACAAAGAGGTTTTAGTCAAGCCAAAATGATGAAGAACAGGAAGCTCCTAAGTTAGGCATATTTTAATAGTAGGAGATATGAAGGAGAACCATGTTATTTGGTTCTTGATTGGTTCATATTGGTTCCTAATGTTTTCCAACGTTTTTTGTCCATTTTTGAGTTTAAATTGGTTAGGTTTGCTCGTTACAGTCACTTTTGGAGCATATCATCATATAATCTACCTGGTTATACATGACATGTTGTACCAACTCTTTTGGTCCATACTGGTGCATGTAGTGTATTGAGATACATCTACAATTAGTTCGTGTCTAGTATCAATATATTAAAATGTTGTGTATGCTAAAGATTATTTCAATGGTCATTGCATATATGATCATTATTCTTGATTAAATATTGAGTTTGAAATAGACACTCAGAAATTATGAAAGCACAGGATGTTCTGTAAGAAATAAACAGAGTTTAAGGGTAGAACTAGTGCGTCTCTTGTGTTAGAAGATGAACAACTGGAAGTTCCTTTTGAACTGCCAATTATAGCTCAAGAAAAATTTGTTACTTATGAAGTTGTTTTTGTTCATGGTAATGAAGTTGAGCAACTTCTTTCAACAATTTTGTTCTATCTCCTGTTGCTACTATTGAAGTGGTTTCTATCTATGACGATTGAATTAAAGAGATTTTTTGGAATTTTTTATCTTGAATCGTGGTTTTATGATACTAAGGAACCATAATTTTGTTAACTTCCAAATTTTCTATGGAAATTATCAAAACCATCAACCTTTTTAAGATTTTGAAGAGCATGCTTAAAGCCTTTCCTTCCTTGATGCTTCGCCACTTCAAAACTTTAGTTCGAGATCTCACCAAGTGAGGTAGATAATAAAAAACAAGAAATTATTTTTGAAGAAAATCTTTAGTTAAAAAAGTCTTTTTGTAATAATAATTATTATTTTGTATTTTAAATTTGTTTTTCAGGTTTATTTATGCATTATAAGATTTTAGTTCTATTTATATATATATATATCTCTTAAGTATTATAAGAATTAGAAGTTTTTATATTTTCTCTTTTATAATTTTTCTTATCTTATTGCCTATATAAAGGCTAATTCCTACCAAGAAAAAGAGAATGGACAATAATGAATTTAGAAATTTTTTTGTGAGGATTTTGTTCCTGATATCTCTCTGTGTTTATTGCTATTATTATTCTTCTGTCTAACCTATCTTGTTCATTCTATTTCTCCTTGTATTTCTTGACTTTAATCTCTAACTTCTTTTTTCATATCTTTATTCGTATATTTATCATCTAAATTTTCTTTATTTTAAAATTTTATGTAGGACAAATTGGTTAAATGTTGCTCGTCCTGTATTGTAAATATTTTTATCAGCTCAATCTAATAGTAAAATGTATCACGTGACAATCACATGACTATGAAATAACAAAACCAACACGATGATAAGTGATTTTGTTTTGGGAAAAAAAGAGCCAAGAGTTTGGTTCATATAGTAAAAAGGAGATTAAAGTGAGTGTAAGAAGATCATTGAGTGCCAGGGTAGTTAATTGTGTAAATGGCTAATATAGAAAAGAGCTAATTATTTATTTTTTTTCTTGCAATGTTGACAAGAGTAAGATGACAGAAGGACTAGGTTGTTATACTTAAAAAATAAAAGACTCAATTGTTATCATACCGATGTTAAGCACTTCTATGCAACTTACCCAATCATAAATTGCCTTATCCTCTCTTTTTGTAACTTTTTTAAAGAAAAAACCAATTATCAATCACAAAGCTCTCTTAATGGTTGTTCTAGAAAGACAAATTAGCCACTTTCTCTCTAGGCCAAGAGCGTTTACGTCTGCGCTGCCACGCCTTTTGGGCGGTGCAAACTCTCGTTTTAAGGTAATGGTTGTAGGACAGAGAAGGTTTCTGTTGATGTGGTAGGGGAAGGGAAGGGGGTTAAGGTTGTTGAGAATGGGACAAGGTTTCGGAAATCGATCTTCTTCCAGGAAGGGGATGCGCAATGGTTAATTCAATGTTTTAGAGAACTTTGGTGGAAGAAGGGGGAAAGGCCGTGGGGATGGAGAAGGAGAAGCAGTTGGAGAACCCTTTGGATGGCACTAAGTCATAACAGCTATGGAAAATTCTTGGTATTCTCGGAAGGTAAGGAGGGCCCAAGGGGGAGAATGAACAGACTGTTCTTGCCTGAGGGGCCGAGGGTGGAAGGCTGATGGCAGTTGATGGTTGCTGTTCATGAGGTTGCTGGGGTCAAGCTTGTACCTCCAGAATGTGTAACAAAGAAGATGACAAGCGTAATTTCTTGTGCGACTAAGCCAAATCCCATGGTGAGACTGCTTGTTCAGTGTCCAGGATGTAATCTGAAGTTAGGTGTTAGGTTGAAGATGGGGAATGCTCTGACATTTGCTGAAGCTCTGTGTTCACAGACATTGAGTCGGGTAGGGCAGACGCCTGAGACTGGGTTGGCGGGACCTGGTCGGGTACAATTTAATATTCAAATCAGTGGCGTGAGGAGGACTGGGCGGGAAAATGGGGTGAGGAAAACAGGTGGGCCATTCAGCAGGAAAGGTTTGGGCCTTGAGGACAGTAAGAGATATATGTGGGCAGAAAAAGGAGAATGGGTGGACCAACCTGGGCCTAGTAAAGTGGTGGGCCGGAGATTAAAACGAAAGCCTATGTGGTGACCGATTTGTGGAAGGGCCAGCCCGAGCAAAGAACTAGTTAAAATATGTGAAGTTGAAGGGGAGACTCGATCAGATGAGTCAGAGTTAGGGTTTCTGGATGAAGTTGAAGTGGAGCTTAGAGAAATGGATGGAAGATTCTAGACTATACAGAGAGAAGAGGAGCTGACTCCCAATGGTGAAGAGGAACATGAGATCTTGGCTAGTGAAGCTGGCTTGGTGTTATGTGAGCCCCAGGTGCATGATGTGGAGGTGTTTTGTCTAGCGGAGGCGAATGATGGGATCCCTTCGGGCAATCTCGCGGATAATGAACATTCATTGGTCGAAGTGGAGGTCAAGGATGATGCCTCAGAGGAGGTGTTGGACGTGACACCGATCCGGTGTGAGGATGCTGATAAGTTGATGCTCCATATCAATCCTATGATGGCCGAAAGGATGAGACAACAATATGCTGACTGGGTCATGAAGAATTTTGTCTAGGTAAGCAAAACACTTGGGATCTCCTTGAATTTTGAGGAAAGAATTTTGAACTTAATACAGGAAATGTAAAATGGCTTTGTCGGGGATGGGAGTGACAAACACAAGCGGGATATCTGGCAGGAAAAAAGGAGAAAGGGGTAGCAGAGAATTGAAGAGACTACAGTGCTCTGTGAATTATGATGGGAGAAAGGAGAAAAGGAAGGTTGGGAGTGTGGTGTCTCTGAATTTGAATTAATGATAGGGAATATCTTATCTTGGAATGTGCGGGGTTTGAATGATTGTAAAAAGAGAGGGGTGATCCAGGGCTGTTTAAAGAGATGGAAGCCTGTGATAATTTGTTTTCAGGAAAAATAAATGGAGGAAATTGGGAGGGGGATTATTCATAGTATGTGGGTTGAACACAACATCCAGTGGAGCTGCCTCCCAGCTACTGGGGTAGCTGGTGGTATCCTAACCGCTTGGAATGTGGACTTAATCAGATGCAAGAATTCAATGCTTGGCAGGGTGTCGCTGTCTTACCAATTTGAGGAAATTGGGAGAGGGGAAGGAGTGGGTTTTCATAGGTGTATATTGTCGAGGTAAGGGGGTGGAGAGCGAGTTATTGTAGGAGGACTTAGAGCAATGTAAGAAGCAGTGGGGTGATAGGTGGGTTGTTGGGGTGGACTTCAACATGATCCTGAATAGGAACGAGAGGTCAGGTGGGGGCAGCTACAATGGGGAGGTGGAGGAGTTCAGGGAGATGGTGGACTGTTTGAACCTGGTGGATTTACCTCTTTTGGATGGAAAATGGACTTGGTCTAATTCTTGGGAGGATCCTACTTGGTCTAGAATTGATCGGTTTCTACTGTCTTATGAGATGTTTGGCCTGTACCCTGGACTGTGTCAAACGATATTGCAGCATACTATCTCAGATCATTTCCTGCTTTGTCTTGAGCCGAATGGTATCGATTGGGGACCGGTTCCTTTTAGATTTGACAATAAGTGGCTCAAAGTGCATGGGTTCAGAGAAATGGTGGATTTTTATTGGAAAAAAGTGCAGGTGAAGGGTACAACAAGTTTTTCTCTCCATTCTAAACTTAAGATGCTCAAGGATGAAATCAAAAAATGTAGTAAAGAGGTGGGCGACAAAATTGAGGAGAGTACTAAAGCATATATACAAGAGTTGGTTGATCTGGATTTAAAGGAAATGAATGGGTCATTATGTATTAATGACAGAGATAGAAGGAATGTGGTCAAAAAAGAAATCGCTCATAATTTAAATTTAGAAGCCATTTCCTGGAGACAAAAAGTCAAGGAAAAGTGGCTTATAGACGGCGACCGCAACACTAAATTCTTCCACTGTTTAGCAAATTATAGAAGAAAATGCAATTATGTGGAGGAGATTGCCATAAATGGGAAGGAGTGCAGAGGAAATGCTGAGGTGAGGGACATGACTAGGAGTTATTTCCAGCAGCTTTATGAGGAAAAAGAGAGCTGGCGGCCAAGGTTGGATAATCTGGAATGTAACCAGATTTGTGCCGAGAGCAGGGAGGGGATTGATGGCAGGTTTACTGAGGATGAGGTGCTTGAATGTTTAAAATGTTGTGATGGGGACAAGTCCCCGGGGCCTGATGGTTTTAGTATGAAATTTTATTCAAGAGTTCTGGGATGTTTTGAAGGCTGATGTGATGGATGTGTTTGGGGATTTTCACAGGTCGGGCTTCTTTATCAGGGCCATTAATGATACTTTCCTGGTTCTAATTCCTAAAGTTGAGGGAGCCAACGAGATTAAGTAGTTCCCTCCGATAAGTCTTGTTGGTTGTATCTACAAGTTAATTGCAAAGTTATTGGCAAGAAGGATGAGTAGGGTGCTTGGTGAGGTGATCGGGAAGAGCCAAAATGTGTTTGTGGAAGGAAGACAAATCTTTGACGCGGTGGTGATGGCTAATGAGGTTGTGGATGAGCTGGTGGGGCAGAAGCGGGAGGGTGTTTTATGCAAACTTGATATGGAGAAGGCCTGTGACCATGTTTGTTGAGATTTTGTAGATTATATGCTTAAAAGACTTGGTTTTGGAAGAAGGTGGAGATGTTGGATCAAGACTTGCATCTCCACTGCCTCTTTTGCCATGATGATGAATGGAGGCCCATAATCTTTTTTTAAGGCATCCAAAGGGCCACGCCAAGGTGACCCGTTATACCCATTGCTGTTTATCATTTTGATGGAGGCTTTTAGCAG